AACAAATCATTAAGCAAGACTGTCGTTGTGATTACACTATCATATCCTTGTATAAGTAGATTAAGGGGAAGCTTGTTTTGTATTAAATATCTAAATAACTTGTGTTGATTTGCTTATGGTTGAATATAGGTAGCTAAGTTTTTCTGTATTTCACTTCTGGATTTGAAGCATTCTAGTATTGTTAAAATAGACCTAGAACAGATGCGTAAACATCCTATGGTGTAGCTTTTGAAAAAGTGTTTAATCTGCCATTATAGAACCTTTTGGTTCGGCAAGTGGTAGCATTCTTTACTAGAAGTGACACTAGTTCTTGAAAGAAGTAGTGTCCGTCTTCACACTGTACCTGCATGTTTCCAGACCCAGTGTGTTCAAAATGTGATGGACAAAACTGCTTTGTTCAGCTGCTGCATATGGCTAGAAAAGAGCTCCAGTCTCCTTGGTTTACGCTAACAGGTGAAACACTGCGTCTTCATTTGAGATGCTTGTGTGTGGACTCAAAACTGATCTCATTAGATGTCACTATTTTACCTCTTAAGATTTTAAGTAATAAATAAGCTGTGCTGTGTAGAAATTAACAGTTTATTTTGGTGTTTTGCTCAGGGGACAGCCTCTGTACCAGCAGCTGCTGCCCTGTCTACCGTAACATCTGGGGATCTGGATCTGTTCACTGAGCAGACTACAAAGTCAGAAGAAGTAGCAAAGAAACAACTCTCCAAAGACTCCATCTTATCTCTCTATGGAACAGGAACACAGCAAAGCACTCCTGGTACGTCCTTTGAAGCTGTAATGGCAGTTGCATTTTTCTGTGGTAGCGGGGGATACTTCTCTTGCAGTCTACTTAACTGAAATGAATGAAGGATTAGAATTAAACAATATATGATTCACAAACTTTATTCATTTGAGACTTGACAAGTTGGTCACATATCACTTAATATTGTTCTACAAGTTTATAGGACATGAATTATCTTTGAAGAATTACTGGTATTTGATTTACATGAAGTTTGTCTTTGTGTACACTATTTTCTCTGCAGACAAATAGGCAGTCAGAGTTATACATAAATATATATAATTATGCAAAATTTGGAAATGCCTTGTCATTATAGTGAAATATTAGCATACAATTCATTCAGTTTTAATTCATCAGACCCTTTCTTCCAAAATAAACTCATCTCATATATAGCCTAAAACTGTGTGGCCACCCATGTACTTCCTCATAAAAGCAAATAACCACCGTGCTACCTGCCTGGTTGGTTTGAGAGAGCAGTGGTGTGCGTCATCAGGAGTAGCATGTGCTCTCAGGCTGTGCATCAGCTTTCCCATAGTCAGAACATCTGTCTGCATTATGGAAATAACAGGCTCTGAAGGTGGAGGTGTGAGTTGTTTAGAGATCTATTCTGAGGGTCAGGAAGTTACCTCTTTTCTGTATCTGGAGAGGAGTGCAGCCATATAAAAGAGCCTCTTCTTGACTTATTTTGTTTGTTTGGTTTCTTTTTAAAAATTTGTGGTTTTTACAATCTAGGTGTGTTTATGGGACCCACAAATATACCATTTACCTCACAAGCAGCAACGGCATTTCAAGGTTTTCCTTCCATGGGCGTGCCAGTGCCTGCAGCTCCCGGTCTTATAGGAAACATGATGGGACAGAATACAAGTATGATGGTGGGCATGCCCATGCCCAATGGATTTATGGGAAATGCACAGACTGGAGTGATGCCACTTCCTCAGAATGTTGTTGGCCCTCAAGGAGGAATGGTGGGACAGATGGGTGCACCACAGAGTAAGTTTGGCCTGCCGCAAGCTCAGCAGCCTCAGTGGAACCTTTCACAGGTAGGTTTCATAAACTGTCTACCATCTCAGTGTCCAAGAAATCATGTGTATATTCTGAGTAGTTCGTTTGAAATCTAATGATGTAGCAAAAGAATTGAATAAAGATAAGTTTGATCAGATCCAAGTGTTTATAGATGTCATGAGGTTTTATCAGATAGATAAATGACTCACTACCATCCCTATTTTAAGAGTATTCTGTAAATAAATGTTAGGATTTTCCTTTTCCCATTTTGGCCTGTAACAGTTGTAATGGTGAACTTGCCTAATCTACCAGTACTAGCTAGAAGTTATCTTTGGCAGCATACGACAGACACCTCACTCTCATCTGCCACCTGTCAGGCTTAGTACCAGCTTTACTCCTGGGTGGTGTCTTTTAGTGGTCCACTTAGACCAGTCTGTCTGCACTAGTAAGCATGAATCATTTTTGGTTAGCTCTTACCAGTGAGAAAGAAATCCAGCTTCATATTCTCAAAGTATAGTTTTATGAAGGATCAAAGCTGTCTCTGTCATATGGTTGCTGCCTATGGATTTATGAGGAGCATCCATTGACTCAAGAGTCTCTATGATAATAAAAACTCTGCTTGCCTCAGGTATCACTGACAAATTCCATGTCTATCTGGGATAGTTTAGGTCAAGGAGTACTATTTCTGAATTAAATGCTGTTATGTCTTCTCTGCAGCTCTTCAGAGGCTTTTGAGTTAAATGTTCTGGTTCGCATTCCCTTTCCTGCATCTTAGTGTCTTGGTTCCTGTAAGACCAGCAGCTTCACCTTCAGAACATTGATTTCTAACAAACATTAGAAAAATCACCAAATATCTTACAATTGTGGTTTATAGGAGTACATAAAGCACATGTGTATGCACTGGAAGCCTTGAAACTTGTAAGTGCCAGGTGTTAGTAATAGCTTTTCTGTTGCCAAGATGCTGAAGTTCACTCAGCTCAGGTTAAATTACAGATGAGCCAGTGAAGAATCGCAGCCCTTGTCAGCAAGGCCATGATAGTATCAGTGAGCAGAAGTGAAAATGTGATCTGTCTGCCTTTAGACACCTCGGAACACTGGTGTGGTTGTTGTGTCTTACAAAATCCCTGCAAAAAGAGCAAAAGATGACACTGATCATAGGTTAGGAACTGTATTGTGGAAAATCCTGCCTTGCCTGCTCTATCATCAGCCTTCGTAGTGAGAGAACCACTGGGCTAGATAAGAGGCAGATAAACATACTGGACTCTAGCCTGGAAGAAAATTACACGTAACCTTTTATTTTATAAGATATAAAATTTAATTTTAGCTGTTACAACACATGCTATATGACATTTTTAATGTTGTGAAAGTGTATTAAAGCCATTTAGCATGCTAATAGAGAATACAGGTATTTTGTAAATGTTAGGATAATTTTAGATAAGCCATTTAGGATGTTAATAGAGAACATTTTGTAAATGTTAGGGTAATTTTAGGATGTTTTAATTTCTCAAATTTCTCAGTTCAAGAAATACTCTTGTGTAGTTGAAAGAGTCCATCAATTTATATACTCAGAAACAAATTAGAGGATTACTTTGGTATTCTTTTCAATTGCTGTTAATCTTTGGGATAAAAATTTAAATACAGAAAGTGAACTAAGTTTGGATTACTTCATAAGCAGTGCTAAACACAGGAAAAATAAGGAACAAGGTTATTCTTGAATCAGTAGAGAGATATTTGGACATTGTCTACTTTACCTCTGTACTTCGACTAAATTTTACATTAATGATGAAGTTTGATTGTAGCTAAAGAATTAAGAATGAAAAGTGAGTAATCCTTGTCAACTAAGCCTTTTATGTGTTTTACAGATGAATCAGCAAATGGCTGGCATGAGTCTCAGTAGTGCAAACCCTACCGCAGGTTTTGGCCAGGCCCCCAGCACCACAGCCGGGTGGTCGGGCAGCTCATCGGGGCAGACTCTGAGCACACAACTGTGGAAGTGAAAAGCTGCAACAGAGTTTCATCCAAATCCAACACCCGACATTCCTCGCTACAAAGGCATCTAGTTCCCATTTATTCATGTACATATGTATTTTCTTTTCCCCCATTTGTTCACATTAAGAATTACCTGATTGACCGTGTTGGTCTGTGCTGATTAAATCTGATGTGAAAGCAGGTTGAGAAACCATCTTCTGTGGAGGGCAGCTTTGCTCATATTTCCCATGATGTCATAGTCACATTGAGAAGCTGCTCAGTTAACTTGCATAATCAGTTTTATTCTCAAAATTATAGCTCTAATGTTTGCATATAAGGGAAGTAGTTATCATGTTAGTAATACTTCTAACAGTATAAACCCCACCCCCAAATTAGCCAGTAATCCTGTAGGAAGGTACTGTATGATCAAATGTTTAATCACATAAATAGAATGTAAATGTATCACTGAGCACTGTTTTCGAGTGTATCAAATTCTTTTACTCATCATTCACTTCACTGTGCTGTTGTTTCGATGTGCTTAACAGGGAACGTGATAGTGAAAGGAAGATAAACCTGGATGTTACTGTAAAACTTAGTGTTTCAAGAATTCAAATTTTTGCTGCCTCTTGTAATTTGGACCTCTTCTCATGTACATAGTGCTAATATGAAGACCCTTTTTTCTGCACTATATGCACACAGGGTAACTAAAACAAAGCCACTTTTAATCCTTGAAGGTATATCCAGGTTTATGACAGTAATTGTGTTTACATTTTATGGTGCCTAGTATTGACAAAATGTTATTTCCCTATATTAAACAGATGAATCCACACACCTTTTTATTTGTGGGTTTTATTTTTTTCAGTGTACACTGCCACCAATATTCTAAATATTTCATGTTGTGAAGCCAAGAGTTGGGACTGTTTAGTTGACAAAATACTCATGGTCAGGTTCTAAGACCTATTCCATCAATTATGAGATGGCTTGAGGAGGGGAGGGAGCAGCAGGACAGGAGATACTCATAATTTTTTCCAGTGTCTTGTAGCTTCAGTGTACAAAAAAATCTTCCCAATTAGCTTTAGAGAGCACATGCAGAACAAATGAAGACAACACATTTTGTAGCATCCAGTTAGCTGTTTAAACAGATGTCCATCGGCTGACAGGAAGGGCTGAAGGAAAGGAACAATACCTGAATGAGCTGCAGCCTAAATTCTAGACTTCCTCTTCTATACCTGCGTCTTGGCGTCTACACCTCAATGTTCACTGTGTCCAAGTGGTACTTTGGCTCATTGGCTAGATTGACCTTCTCTGTCCGAGTGTGCCACACGAGAACCTACAGAGGTAGAAGATATTTTAAGCAGCTGTACTATCAACACTTGAGGTTCTGCCACATAAAGGAGATGAATAAGTACCTTGGTGCAGTTACTAGCTTTTGGTTCCAGTTCTTCAACTGTTGTTATCTGCTTTAGAAAGTCAGATTCTTGCATCCCTGGCTGGGATCCACGGCGTTTAAATACAGCTTTAGGATTGGACAAGATGACTTGCAGACTCACAGCAAATCCTTTGTATGAAATAAAGAAAAAGAATTGCTGTTGTACTTTTTCCCTTTGTAATTGTGGCCACATCAAAAAGTGCAAATAACTATTATATGGTTAGATTTTGATACTCAAACTTGAATAGGAGCATTGCCTGCTTATAGTCTCAAAGAAAAATTAGTCACTTTGACTTTGTACACTCTGAGGATACCTACCTCAATATGAGTTCAAATCTGTTGATAATAAAAGGTAAGTTTCAGAAGCTGCTATCCTCAGAGAGGTCACCACGGCCCCACATTTGATGCTCTGCATTATTGAGCTAAGGAGCTTCAGAAAGATGCCTCAACTATCCTTGTGGTGTTGTTGGAGTGCCGGCCCAGCCTTCCTGATTGCTTTTGACATCATTAATGTGTGCTTTATCATCAAGGTCACTACTGTTCCAAATGACTGGACATTGAGAAGATTAGAGATAGAGGTACTGTGGTCCTACGAAAAATAAGTATTATCTAATTTATAATCATTAGTTTCGCTCTTAAGCGTGAAGGAAGTGAGCTTAGAAATCAGAACAGGCAATATTAAGTCATTTGGTAAATTTGGTTTTTGTATTTGAGTGTTTGTTTTAAAAGGATATTGCTTAATGGTAGAGCACTGGCCTCACATGTTCGGCCTTCAGTGCTGCAAAGACAAAGAAGTATGAACTCCCTCCAGTGATTTGTTTATATGACAGCAGAACTGTTAGGATTTAACCTCCTTTAATACATTCCTAATGCACTCCACAGCCAGCCACACATGTTTTAGAAGTCTGAAGCCTGAGCCTTTGGTCCTGACAAGGTGGCACAGAACTCATGTTCTCCAGGTTGAGAGCCAAGCCAGGGACGTCTCCATAGATACTTTATGTCCTCTTTTCAGCAGTGGATTTCTGCTGCTTTTTGGAGAATTGTAACAACATCAGACAGTAATAGAAGAGCTGTGAGAAGACCACGCCCATCACCTCCAGGTGCCAGACTGGTCAGTCATGTGCCCTGAACTCTGCTGCTTCTTGGAAAAAGTTAACTCTTAGCCATGCACAAACAGGATGTGGTCTAGGAAGTGCTGAGTGAAGCAAAATTTAAAAAAACAAAAAACAACCCAGAATCCATAAAATGGCCTTCAGAATCCAATGTCCTCCACTAGATAGAAATACACCATGCATTCTATATAGTAAGCAACACTAAATTTGGAATCAAGCCTTTTGGTTTTTACTAGGTTCTTGTATTTGGCACACTGGCCAAGTCACTTCACCTTTGTTAACTCTTTAATGTCCCCATTTCTGCAAGGGAAGTATGAAAACTCAACCTTGGTATTTAGTGTAGGGTAATTCAAAGATCCTACTGATGCAGAGGACTGCAGTATGCAAACAAAAGTGCCAGTTTGTGAAACAGTACCAAGGGCTGGGTAGTACCAGCCACCACTCACAGCTGCAGAAATCAGAGTAGACAGGTAAAGGGTTTCTGACAGTTCTGGGGCACAGAGCCAGGCCACATCCTGTCACATAACTGATAAGGCATCTGAATCTTCATCAGATACAGCTAGGTCAGCACAAGACTTCACCAACCCAACCAAAGCTTGAAGTTAATAAAGTGCCTTTTCTCTTGAGAGCAAGTCAGATTAATGTTAATGGTTTTTTGCTGTCGTTCATATGCTTCATCCTTTAAATGCAAGTCTGTCCTCACTCACACTGGCGTTTCTGGCACATTCTTTATATGGTTTCAAAGCATTGATTTTTATATCCCTATTTTCATATGCACACACAATGAGCCAAATTATGCATAAGTAATTCTGAAAATATGGAATCATTTAGGTCTGATTTCCTTCATTGTCCCTTAAGATGTTAAACTCATCATCTGCAGCCCTGAAAGATTCAGATTAAGTAACTATTTTCTCCACTTCCCTGGTTCAGAAATATCTTGTAGCAGTGTAGAGCTACTTGGTAAAATGTAGCACAGGTCACAGCTAGTCCTGAAGCCACCATTCTGTTGGGTGCCCTCTTGTGATAGACACCTGACTAGCAGTGCCCTCAAAGACATTAGGGAGTGGCTTGGTCTGGGAACAAAACAACCTCCTTTCTAACAAATGGGCCATAGGGAGAGAGGACATAATCCAGATGTTCCTCATTCATTTACTTCAGCTGGCTCTGCCCATTCTCCACTCAGGAAGCAGGTCACAGCCAGCAAGCAGTCATCATCAGGGAAGTAAGCCAAACTCGGTTGCTTCAGGGAAACTCTCTGCCCGGATGAGATGCAGGGAGAAGCTAAAGTGGTCTCCCTTGGAAATGGGCCGAACTTTTAGCTCTCGACCATTGATGTTCAATCTCTATGGATGTCTTGGGTCTCCTTCAGTTTTGCTCGTATTCGTGCCTCAGGAAGTATATCTTCAGTGACTGGTTTAGGTTTAAAGGTACTGCTCTGTCTTTGGAGATATTAGGATCCTGACAGAAACCATAGGAGTAGGGTTTTCTGTCTGGGTTAGTTACAGAACAATGTACTATGCCAGAGAAAAGAGATGATTCACTGTGTAGGTTGGACTTCTTAACATCCAATGATGGGGAAGAAGCACATAATAGGTAGAGGGAAAGGAGGGCTCTACCATTAAGCAATATCCTTTTAAAACAAACACTCAAATACAAAAACCAAATTTACCAAATGACTTAATATTGCCTGTTCTGATTTCTAAGCTCACTTCCTTCACGTTATCTTCAATAACAAAGACTACATACGTTTCAAATATTTGGAAACTATTGGTAAATTACAGGTCACATAAATCAAGGAAAGTGAGAACAAAACATGAAAGTCTGAATCTAATGTAGTACACGGAAAATTAATGTGGCAATACACATGTGTGCACATGTGTGGGAGGCAGAACTGTGTGTACAGGTGTAGAGGCCAGAGGAAAATGTTGGGTATTTTTTTCTCTCATTCTCCACCCTATTTGGGGAACAGAGTCTCTCAATGAACCTGGAGTCGACCAACTGGCTAACTGGTTGGCTGCAAACCCATCAGATCATTCTGTCTTCACCTCTTTCCTGTGTTAGACTTCTAGGCATGTGCCACCACATCCAGCTGCTTACACAGATGCTAAGGATCCAAACTCCAGCCCTCATGCCTGTGCAATGAGCACTTGACTCATTGAGCCATTACCACCCCAATTCCAAAAATCATTTTTTAAAATGTATTGTCCAGATATTCCAATAGAATAGTTTGAGACTTCCTGCCTTAGCCTTCTAAGTAGCTAAAACTATATAGAGCATTACACCAAGCATGGCAAAAATATAATTTTCAAAAATAACTGTAAATGCTAAACTAGAAAGATGAGGTCCCACTTTTATAAAACTAAAAAAAAAAAAAACCCAAGTCCTGAAGTACTATTAAATGTAACAGCAGAAATCTCTGACTAGAAACAGGACAGGAATAGAGAATGTATAATAAAGTCTGCTTCTTTGGGAAAAGAAAAAACAGCTGTGGTGGTATGAATGAGAAATGTCTCCCATAAATGCACATATTTGAACTCTTGGGTCCTAGTGGCACTGCTTGGGAAGGATCGGGAGACGAGGCCTTGCTTAGCAGTGTGTAACTAGGACAAGCTTGTAAGCATACAGCCTCACCCTGCCTGTGTAGTTTTCCTGACTCTGAAGATATGAACTCTCAGCTTCTTGCTCCTGCTGCCAAGCCTGCTGCTTGCTGCTGTACCTCCCCACCACAAAGGACTCCCGTTCCTCTGAAATTGTAAGACTGAATACACTCTTCTGTAAGTTGCTTCTGGTCATGATGCTTTCTTATTACAGTGACAGAAAAGCAATGAATACGCTGATAAACATCTTCCCATAACTTCTTGAGAAGTAGAAGACACAAACTACCAATGCTGAGAGAACAAACTCTAGTAACATGAATAACAAAAAGTATTAACTTTATGATAGAGATTTGGACACCTCAGACTAGAACAGACAAATTGAGAGACAAATTACTAAGCAACAGCCAATGAAGAATAACCTAATGTTGAAGGAAAGGTCACAGTTAGGCCACCTTGCAGTACTACTTTATAGGGCCAGACAGCCTCACTGGTGAATCCCAGCAGTCACTTAAAAAACAAATAATAGAGATTCTATACTAATTCTTGTTTTTAATAAAAAGGAAATAATGCTTCTCAAATTACCCTGAAGGTCAGCCTTGCCCAGATACCCAACACTATGCAAATCATTACAAGAAAACTGCAGCCAAAGCTCATGAAAAAAGGCAGGAAACCCCTCGAGCTTCTTCACATTCACTTCAGCATTCAAAAGGGAAATAAGCCATGACCACATGTGTTAATCTCAAGATCACAAGGTCATGTTCTCTGCTGTATTAGAAAATATAAAAGGAAAAGCTGTCTTGATAGATGATCAATACTCATTTGACAAAGTGTCCAATGTCTTCATGACTAAAGGGAGGGTGGTAGCTCTCACTGAACCAATAATGTAGGTGAACTCAATTTGAGAAAGAACATCAAAGGAGGAAGAAGAAAGGGGAGGATGAGAGAAGGAAGGAAGGAAAGAGAGGGAGAGAAAGGAAAAGAAAGAAAGAGATAAAGAAAAAAATAGAAGAGAAAACAACTATTACTGACATTTTACTTCTGGATACAAAGACTGACTCAAAATTATGTAGGTTGGAGTGAGACGCAGGCCATACTCATTTTATTCAGCAATGCAGTGGAGAGTTTTGCTATTGAAATAAGCCCTTCCCATTTTTTTTAAAGCAAAAAAGGTCACACAGATGAGTATAAAGTACATAGTACGAAAAGAAGCAAAGCTGCTCTTTCTCACCCAGTCAGTAGCATCAACAGCCATTGCCAGGGTCTCCTGCTGAACAGCCACCACCTTGGTCTCACCTCTGTGTACCTGACCAGCTAGCACACTCTTCCCTCACTTTGTGTAGACACTAATTTCACAGGCCTTCTGCAGATCAAGCCCACTCCTGCTTCCTGTAGCATGGTTCCTGGCAGCAAGGCCTTTATA